ACGAAGACGTCGAAACGTTAGCCAAAAATGAATAAATATCATTATCAACCTCGTGTCAGCTCATCAAAGAAAGAATACATATTGATTATTGATACCGAGGTTCAAGGAAAGTCGGTTTCGAAATATTATCTTAGGAATGTTATCCCTTCTAATAATTCGTCTTATTTCACGCGATCCGACTGGGCATTTTGCATGAATGCCCCCAGCATTTCTTTCATCCGAGTTTTTTTCCTGTCATCCATCATTCTCAACAGTCTTCGGAATTTGCGCGTGGGTTCGGCCATTGATCGACGAAATTTGGTCCTCTTGATGAATGTTTTTGAATGCTGGTCTAGTCGATTCTACCTAGATGGTTGTGGCAGGGTGTTTGTTTGTCTTCGTCATGAGCAGTCGCCAGATTTATAGATTATAACTAATCCCAGACAGGTCTCCTACCAATTTCATCACCGAAGCAAAGGAGTGCTCTTGACTCAGATCCGCGTCAAACAAGCACCATGAAATTGTTTTGCGGAGAAAACTGTTCACAGTAATTCCCAAGACACAGTTTCTATTAACATTGGCACTGATAAAGTAGTTCACTGTATTCTCGATGAGCAAATGCGAGTTTATTTTATTGTTTATTCACGAAAATAGCTGTTGTTTCGGCGGGTTTCGCCTTCATGAGACACTGAAAGGTCAAGTTCACTGCAATCTATCCGATCAAATACATCCATAGCGAAAACAGAAAGAAAAACTGTAAATCAGGATTTCAATCGCATTAGAAACAAAACAACGGAACGGCTTCTTCGCGCACCAACCCATGTAGTATTTCACCTGCACACCAACCGACCAGATCCTATATGAGTAGATAATGTGCCCCTCTCCCATTAAAATATCAGTCTTACACGTTGTGTGAAATGAGGTGTGATAACAAGGCATTCCTCTCTGTGGTAGATTTTTGGATTGGAATTTATCCAGATTGCTTCGAGAGTTTTGCGCGTCGAAGTTTTCGATTCCTGTGCGGAGATGGTAACTTCTACTTCAAAATCGTCTCCATTATGTCACTATATCCTTTGCGCTCCTAGTGGAGTAGTTCGTTTAACTTATTTACGCCTAGAGTTATAATCCTTCGATAACAATTGATATTTGGCGTATACAGTAGTTTCGCATGTCCAACCACATTTACTGCATGGTTCAAAAAAACTTTACTCATACTTGTATCTTCTACATGGAACGTACCGCTGGAATGCAAAGGGAGATATTTCAGTACAAAAGTGGTCGTTAAGCCGTTTTATCCTGCTCCAATTGATACTGACGATTTAAATAAAAGCGTGAATATAACTTCTATAATGCCGAGATATTTGCAAAACTCAGCACCGCAGGTGTCTGCGGTGGGGAACGAACGCGCTATTGTCCTTACCGGGGAGTAACGCGTTCACCACCACATCACGCGGGTCCTTCGTTTCTCAGCTAGTTCTATCGATCACTGCCATCAACAATCACCCGTCAACGGGGTTGATCTGGCGAGCCCAAATCGGCGTCGAACCCATTTATGCTGGGGTTATAGTTATAATCACGATCTTAACCTTTTTATTTACGGGTGATTGCTGATGGCAGTGATCGATAGAACTAGCTGAGAGACAGGCGAAACGAAGGACCCGCATGGTGTGGTGGTAAACGCGTTACTCCCCGGAAAGGATAATAGCGCGTTCGTTCCCCACCACAGACACCTACGGTCTGGAGTTTTGCAAATATCTCAGCATTATAGAAGTTATATTTTGCAACTTACCCTACCATTAAAAAGAATAGGCAGTAAATAAAAATGTTAAAAAAGTGTTAATCTTCTACGAGTTATCGGAATGAAGGAGGCTCAACAACTTTTAAAATTTTTCTCCTTACCACGTCGAAACTAATTGAGTGAGGTCCGGATATCGAACCGGAACTAATATAAACCCTAAGCATTCACAGTGTAACAATTCTTCTTCTTCAAAAATTATTTCTATCCTTCCATTTCCAAGGTTTCGCTATTGGTAGTTGGGAGGTTATCAGATAAGAAGACTGATTTAGGTAGATCGCAAGAGGAATACCGGACGGCTTTAAGTCATTTTGGACTGGTCGGTGATATGGCGTTACAGTCAGTGTATACGTTATCTGGAGGACAGAAGTCTCGCCTTGCGTTCGCTAACATTGCTATGTTGAAGTGAGTTGTTTAGGTAATATGGATTTCAAAGCTCTGCCTTTTTAATAAGTTGTACCAATAACTCCATAATGCAGCGTCACCTAGTAATTTATAGGCCAAATTACCTTATTCTTGACGAGCCTACCAATCACTTAGACGTTGAAACAGTTGCAGCTCTTGGAGCCGCTCTGAACCGTTTCTCGGTTAGCAGTTTGTGTGTTCTTTTGCAATAAACTATCGTTGCTAAAATATTTTGCAGGGAGGAGTCGTATTAGTTTCTCATGACGAGCAGTTGATAGAGATGGTTTGCAAAGAATTGTGGGTCGTGAAAGACCGAATGGTGGTCAATCTTGAAGGTGGTCTTGAGGAGTACCGTAAACAAGTTTACAAACAGCTGCAGTTAATTAGCTAAGCAAGCTGTATCCATTTTCTAACGGCGCCTTTTTACTTGAGCCCTAACTAATAATAGTGCTTTTCTTCAAATGCGGTGAAACTGGTTACTCGAACGTTATTTATTTTGCTATTTTTAACTCTGATTGTCAACACTGTTAACTAAGCATTATTTTCTCACTTGTTATGTGGTTTCAAATAGCGTGAACGATAAACTTTGCTGATGGGACCAATGTTGAGGTTTGAATTTCATTTTACTTGTACCTATAAAATCTGACTAACTAGAACGAAACAAGCAGAATTAATGTAAAATTAATCAGAGGGCTAGAATTGAAGGTTCCATATTTTAGCTGCCCTCCCAACGGTCTACCGTCTCATCGTGGATGGGAGATGTAACTGGGTGTCGGGCAACGAATCACAGCGGGGTGTTCAGTCCTCCAGCAGGGCCTCCCAAAAAGGAAGAGAAAGAGTCCAACGTTTTCATCCGGAAGCCCGACGAAGAGTAAACCAACGCCAGGAATCACAGTCCTAGTACCAAGCTAGTCGCATTGTGACAAATCTCCCTCTGGTCCGGAAGAGCGGCGACTGGGGTGGTGACAACCTGAGAAAGCTTCAGCTAGAGTGAGCTTGGCATTCCAGGGTACCACAAGGCAGCGAAACTTCGGGGTAAGGTCCCGTCTACAAAGTCGAGCAGTGGGACCACCGATGATAGGCGGTTAAATCTCGAGTCGCACACGACGTCATTTGAAACGGGCAAACCAAGTACGCGCACGAAACGCTTTGGAGACTGCTTCTTCCTCTTCACATATAACATCAGATCAGTCTCTTCAGACGTCGTTCTCTACGCTCTTCTTGAGGCCACTGGTCGCACCAAATTCCATGTGATCCATGAAAGCCTAAAAGACGAAAACAACGAGATCGACATAAACCATTAGATGACGGGACGCTGTCATTCGTGGAGGGAAATTTCCATTAAGAAATGTTGGAATCGTTGGTTTTACCTTATCATACAATTTGTAAACCAATTGTGAGTTTAAAAAGCAAGATAAATGCGTTTGTATTTTTGCCCTCTACGACATCCTAATGTGAAAAGCAATGTTCGGTGGGAATATGTATCAGACAGTTCTTCACACTAACGCTGATACCTGTTTTAAAAACAAACATTTAACGAGATCTCTCCAGGAATCTTTCCGATTCAAGAAGAATATTGAAATCGGTTTTTTTTAAGCAGTGAGCGAGTGGTTTTGTACATTAATATATTTTGGACTTACGAAATCCCACTAGTTGCAAAATGCTATGGTTTTGTGTCAGTAGGCACGAAATATGCATATATCATGTCTAGTTAAGAATGATTTGAGGAAATGTAGACGTTGAAAAATAACGGCTTTTGAGAGCCTACTGCTATAAAAGGGTCTTTAACTGAAAATTATTTGTCGTCATTTTCATAACCAATTGTTGAACAAACAGTTCTAGAAACGAGTTACGTTGCAAGATTATTCCCTATTTGAAAAACTATGTTAGTATTTCGACGTATTCGTTTGTACAAAGCTACTGTGTATTATTAATTTTACGTGATGGCCATTTCGTTTGTGATATGGTTCTGTTCTTCTAGCTTGCCCCGCGAGACTTTACATGCGATGTAGTTTGGATCTGAAACTTGGGTAATCAAATTCTTGCTGAATAAGGAACAATAACACCGGACGCCATCGATATCTGTATTTCTTACTTCTACTATGCCTCTGAAAATTCAAAAGGATGATTTCTTCGCACGTACTTATGATCTATAAAAAATTGAAGCGTAAGCTCAAATTGTTTTTATTTGTAAAATTAACACATCAGTGCCTTATGAACATCATATCCACCAGATGCGCTTCGGGTCGAACTGTTCAGAATAACTCAAATATCGCCCATTTCCTTATCGAAAATTTTCTTCCGTACGAAGCATTTTTGCTTTATTTTTCCAACCATTCGATAGTTTCTAAAGTGGAACGCGCTTTTTAACAATTTACAAAAGCCGTCTTTTTTACTGCAAGTCTTTTTTCTTCTATTTTGACCCTCGAATCCAACGAAAAATGCTTGCACGTCCGTTGTACTAGCACAATGGTGTTCGAAACTGCACATCTACGAAGTAATTGGGGAACTATTTGCAAAACTTGGACCTCAGGCTGATCATACTCTGCTAAAAAAAGAATAGGTAGTGAATAAAAACGTGATAACATTGATTTATTCTACAGCTTCAGCTTAGCTAAGTTCAGCGCCTATTTGTGCTTCCCAGATCAATCTCGTTGACGGGTTATTGCTAAGAGCACCCATAGGTTAAAACACGGCTGAAAAAAGGAGAAAAGAAGGACTGGTATGGTGTGGTAGAGAACACGTTATGTCGCGGAAAGGGTAATAGCGATTTCGATCCCCACCGCATGCACCTGCGCTCCGGAATTTTGCAAATATCTCAGCCACAAAATGTACTCGTCAACGTGTTTTCAGTGTATCTTCATGTACAATATAATCGTAACATTTGTTCTGATGAGATCTCGCTAACGTCATAGACAGTCTCTCCCAACGGTTTACCGCCTCATTATAGCTGGGAGGTATTCGTCGAGCTGCGATGTACAGCGGATGAATTTATTCCTCAGTAGGGCATTGCAAGCTGAGAAGTAGTCCGGTGTTTCCATTAGGAAGCCCAGCTAAGAGTAAACCAATACCGGGATCTACCACCGTCCTGGTACCAAATTAGTCCTATGGTGGCAAACCTCCTTCCCATTCACAAGGGCGGCGACTGCCTTTGGTGGTGACGACCTGCGGCAGACTTTGGCCTGAATGACCTCGGGGCTCCAGAGAACTACAATGGCTAAACCAGCAAAACTCCGAAAAAAAGGAGATTGTGCTGGGACTGGCAAACCCACAGAGGACGGGCCATCCAAGTATCCAAGTAAGTAGCGTTGTAGACGTACTACCCCTAAACACTTATTTCAGTCTTCAATTAGATTTTTGCCTAATAAGAACACTTCCTACGCACTCTGTACTCATCATGACAGAGGACCTGTTCATTTGTATAGTGCAAAGTAGTTCTCACGAACAGCGTAGAGCTTATTTACTACCTACTACCCTTCCATGTCAATGTATTAGGCGGAATACGACCACAATAAGATAGTCGTGGGTTCGAATCTGGACGGGAGTGGGAGTTTTGCAAACATATCAGCGTCTCTGTAGCTGTATTTTTATGAGCATTTTAAAATATAATTACGTCCACTAGAACTCCAATACTTTTACAACTTCGCATATAATTTCACAAGCATTAAAAAAAAATCTAGAAGGGATTTGTACGGAACCATCTAAACAGAATTGTTCGTTACATTGGCAGTAGCCACTTCATATCTGCTTGGCATTTATTACAACAGATTTGGTATCATAAAATCTATATAACTTCCCATAGAGGCCAATACATCCTCTTCGTTTTGTGAACTGTTGACCGCTCTCCTAATAGCAAAAAGGCATTCTAAAACGAACCATGGATAGACCTCGCAGATCAAACAAAACAATAACAACAACAACAACAACAACAACAGCAACAAAGAATAAGTTGATAGCAACAAACACCTCACATCAAGCACATAATATAGACAGTCAAAATCAATCAATAGTTTTCAAAATAATTCAGACGATCGAGAATAAGGTGTCCATTTGTGCACCCAATTCCCATATAAGCGCTGTGTGGGGAGAACTCGACACATTCCACGTTTGACATCTGAATGAGAATAACAAATAATAATAGGCTAAGTTCATAATGGAAATAACTGTAATCGGTGTTTATGGTAAACTAGTCGCAAATAATATAAAAGTCAGAAAGAAAAATAAATGAACCTTTTCGTGTTTTCTTGGAAAATTGCTAAACACACTACCGCTAGCTATATGGAGGAGTTTCACTTGGTTCTTCTGAAAATACTGATATGTTTCAAGTCTTATGTCAGTAAAAAACGAAATTTCCGTAAAAGGAATCTTAACCGTTCTGCTAGCTAGGCAGAGTTGGATGTCCATAAAAAATCGAAAATGTGTTGAATGCGATGTTAAAGGGACCAAACATTAACATATATGTTTACATACATTACATATATATATATATATATACATATATATATATCAAAACCGTACATGTTGCGCAGTAGTTAGAGGTGTTTTGTAACACATATGGATTCCATCTCGCTCCCCAGGCTCATCACCAAGCTCTCCATCCCTTCGAACTCGAAAAATTGGTACCAGACTTGTCTGGGAGATAGCAGCATTGGCGCGATACATCAGTAGCACACCGCGAGTCATTGTGAAGGCCAGATATGCATTCATTGACCACCAACGATGCTTAATGAAGTCGAACGCATGGTACATCCCTCAGGGATTGATCAACGTTGAGAGCTTTATCCTTTAGACTTTAAAACCGACTTTCATTACTTTCGACTTTATACAGGCAATGAGCCCATGGCATTCGCTGCATCCGATCCTAGTGTGTCGTCCTTATCTACGTCCATCATTCCGTATAGATATAAACACTCATAAGGAAAAATATAAATAAAGGAAAGAAAGAGAAAAAGTTGCGTTCCTTGGCACCATCGAACGAGCGGAACATACTACGCAGCATTAGCGCGTGATTAGGACGAAAGGAGACTGCACTCTTGCTCTCTCAAGTAGTTCGAAGGTATGAAACCACAAAAGGCATACTTTTACGTTACTGCTGAAAGCCATAAGCTGTCCGTCATGATTGAATGCAATTGAATCACAAGACGTCAGCAAATTCGACAGTACAGCTTGAGGTTTTGGATCAGTACATTTGCGAACGTCTACGGTATCGTACAAATTGACGATACCTGTGTTTGATCTGGAAACTGCTGGTGGTTGCAAGGATATTTTCAACAAAAGTGGTTGTTACAATGAAGGAAGAAAAACCTACTATAAAAACACTTCACCTACCCGCATGCCACTTTATCACCATCAGCGCTTAATCGAATTTTAGTTCCACGTACAGCGCCATCATCCCGAAACATTTGTTGAGATCCACTGAGATTCCATATAATTACTTCACCACGCTCTAAATTATTAGGACTAAATTTAACCACCGATCGTAACATTCCGAACCAGACATTAAGCCACCGGAACAATCCAACATTTGTTAATACTATTCAGGGCCAATAGTATGGGCATTTAGTTCCTACTAAAGCCGTTATAACAACCAAACACACTCGTCTTGTCAATCGACCACTCATTCGATTATTTTCTGTGGTCACCTTCCTTTTGAATATTTGCAATGGAAAACAAAGTCGCGTGTAGCGCGGTGGTCGAAGGCGCCCTGCAGTACACATGGGATCGATCTCTGCTCGCCTAACCCACTAAGCCTTCCATCCCTCTGTGGTGGGAAAATTGGTACCAGACTTGAATGGCAGGATGGCAATACTAGCTCGATACATCGGCAGGTCACCGTGAGTCATTTCATTGTAAAGGTCATATGTGCATTCAACTACCTCTAAACGATGCTCAATGAAGACGAATGCATAGCGTATCCATCAAGGATTAATCAATGCAGGGACTTCATCCTTTTATTAGGGCTTTTAGTGGAGGACATCATTACTGCGGCATTTCTGCGCCACCTACTTTCTAACCATATGCACATTGAAAGGCTGTAATAAAGGCCCGTAATGCTTAAGGGTGACAACAGTCAAGTTGAAGCAATGATTCGTATACAATGTTATCAGATACCTGTCATGGCCCATATTTCTCGATTTGATCCAGGAAAAAACTGCAGAGACGTCACGTCTGCCGGAGCGGACAATGTTTTGATCAATTCCATGGACTAAAGTACAACTTCAAACAATGTCATAACATCAACAATGCGCGATAATGCTCTTATATGACTTGCCGATGAAGACAGAACGTGAACTTGTGAATTACGTGCGGTCATAGCAAGAAGTAATCCATCACTGGATAACGAAAAACGGCCAGCGTTTTGCGGAGGTATACCTTAAGAGAGGTACTGAGATATCACAATCATCGGTGCCCTAGTTTAAGATAAGGACTTACATTTAGGAAGCTTCACTTCCACTACGAAGCCCTTTTCGAGATCGTATTTCATCAGATAACCCTAGAATAACATCGATCGGAGGAAATATGATGAAAGCAAAAAAGCAAGAATAAGGGAATGTGCACTACCTGTCGCACGGAGCCACAAATCACTGAGCAGCCCCCTTGCATTAAACTCATGTTTGTAATGGGAAAATTAGTGAATTGTACATTCTGAAGGAAATTTCCCGTCTCCGACCTATCGCCGACCTAGGAGAGAGAGAGTTTAATTAACTTTTTACTTACTATCTACTACAATATTTCATGGCTATGTACTGTCAAATACGACCGTAATGATGCTGAGATATTTGCAAAACTCCGGTCCGCAGGCATCTGCGGTGGGGATCGAACACGCCTTTACGCTTTTCATGGGCTAACGCGCTCAGCACCACACCATGCTGGACCTCCGTTTCGCCTGTCACTCAGTTAGTTTTCTATCTACCAGTGCCGTCAGCAATCACCTGTCAGCGACTGATCTGGGGAGCAGAAATCGGTATGGAGTTCAGTTACAAAGAGTTAGCAAAGAAGATGACAAGTGGAGGCTTACCTTAAATAGTTGAACTTTTCCAGATGCGCCACCTGTTATAACCACTGGACGAATACGGTGGAATAAAACAACGTTGATTTGTCGCTAAAAATAAACTATGAAATGGGAAACTACCAGTGTTTGTATCCACAAAAAATATCCACCGAGTCTCGATGTCCAATTGTGACGTCAGGGCAACGAAACGTAGATATAAAATCTTTCACGAGATAAGGGTCCCTGTCAACGTATCGTATAGATGATCGTGTCATGTCATCGAATACGGCTTGAACTTCTTCGTCTGAGTCATCAGGCTTCGGTTGTACGGGACTCTCTGTAAGTACCACGAACAATGAGTATCAAAAAGGACTTAATAACATCGTATTAAGTACTAGTAATGGCCAGTTTGGCCCATTTAGGTGTTCCTTTATGCTGCCGTTGAAATGCTTTACGAAGGCGGGTTTGATACTCCTAAAACATTCATTTTCACCACACGGCGACGAACTTGAAAGATATGCTTCCTTACATTCGCTGGAACACATCCCCCACAGTCACTGCTTCGATGAAGAAATACAGCAGACTTGCTATTGGGCACTTGAATGTCATCAGCCACATCGTCGTCATCATGCCAAAGTGATGCAGAGTGAACTTCCTGATGGTATCCAGAGTGACAACGGGAAACAATTTAATATAAGAAATAGGGCTGCCAATAATTCTAGACCACACATTTTATAGAAAGAGAGCACCAGCTTTACGTTCAACACCATACAAATATACTTACTTGGATACTTGGATTGCCAGTCGTCACTAGTTGTGCAGGCCCCAGCGTAATTTCCACTCTCCAGAGATTTGCTGGTTTAGCCATTGTGGCTCCACGGAGTCTCGAGGACAACCTGACCAAAGTTTGGCCCAAGTCGTCACCAACACAGGCGGTCGTAGCCCTTGTGGATAAGGAGATTTGCCACTATGCAACCTGTCTGATACCAGGATGGTGGTGGAGGATCCTGGTATTGGTTCACTCTTAGCTGCGCTTACTGGTGGAAACGCCACTCCTTCCAGCATGGGAGACCCTGCCGGCGGGGCAAATATAAGGATCATAAATCTTTTAATTATCGATTTCTTCCATGTTACGTTTACTACTAACTAATAAACCTTAAACCCCAAAAGTTTACCGCCCCATCGTGGCTGGGAGGTAATCCTGGGTGTTGGGCTGCAATGTACAGCAAAGGGATTCATTCCCCCAATGGGGTCGCGAAAGCTGAGAAGGAGACAGGCGTTTCCATCCAAAACCCCACCTAGAAGTAAATCGCTACCAGGATTCACCACCGTTCTATTACCATAGTCGCATGGTGACAAGTCTCCCTCTGATCCACAAGGGCAGCAACTACCTGTGGTGGTGACGACCGAAACCAGACTTTGGCTAGGCTGACCTCGAGACTCCAAGGAACCACAATGACCATACAGCAAAACTCCAAAAAGGTGGAAATTATGCTGAGGCCAGCACAACCAGCGATAACGGGCCATCAAAGTATCCAAATAAGCAAGTAATAAACTTGAAGGTCTCTAGAACATAACAATTACTTTTTGCTTCTTAGTTAATAGTTGACTTAACAGATAAACAAGTGGACACCGAACCTGATCCATAATATCCTCGTCATCATCATCTGAAGATTCGTCCACTTTCTCGTGTTGAACACCAAAAAGCTTTTTAGCCAAATGCTCTTCATCTAGTTCGTCCAGAAAATCCCAAAATATCCATCATTTACTTAGAAGAGGAATATCGGAAAAAGTAAGAAGAAAACCGACGTAGACATAAAATGAAGGTGTACAACCTGTAAACAGCAACAAAACAAACCGTGGGATGGATTTGAGACGACGGCCGCTTTGCAGATGCCATCGATAGAATGTCAAACGATTCAGGAGTTTACGGGGACCTATAACTGAAATATTTTCAGTAAAATATCTCACGACCATTAAGACCAGATCGACCAATACTTGCAGTGTACCGAATCAGCTAAAAGTTTTTAAGAAGTCGGAAGATAAACAAAGAAAAGTGAAAATGCTGTTTATTGCTTATGGATCACAGAATACTAAGTGAATAGGTCCTTCTTGAGATTGCAGTACCTACTACTCTGGCGTCATCACCTAGGTACTTCCCAGACGTTGCAGATCCGAGGGGGGTATTTTCCTTACGTTATGAAACAATGGCGAGCTCAACACTTCCTGGACTTGATTCACTTCTTCGTATCCATCATCCACGAAAGTGCTTGAGGATTTTCGTCTTCACCAGGAATGTCGTTGAATCCCGACCGAATCAACCGTCCCTGAGATCCTGGTATTACCGTATCGTGGAGTGGATTAAAGGAAGTTTACTGTTCTTAGACATGTACATTACCAATCACACAGTCTTGTAGGTATAAGACGCTTTGTCGGCTCGGAGCGTGATTAAACTGGCGCCTTCCTCATAATGAGCTGCATGAACAGCACTACGATTCCCAGCCCTGGATGGAGATTTGCCGTCTTAATTTACTACCATGACTGCTGTGCTTGTTGATAGCGGTCTAATCCTGGCTAGGCTTCTAGATGAAGACGACAACCAGGTTCAACCACAATCCACGACAATACAGTAAACGACTGCCGATTGTGCTCCGATCCAAATGATTCTTCAGGAAGAAGGACTAGGCCTTAGTCGTATGTAAAGGTATATTTACTTGACTAATAAAGCGATAACACTCTCGTCGTTGATCAATCCCTGAGGGATGCGCCATGCATTTGACTTCATCAAGCATCGTTGGAGAGTATTGAATGCATATCTGGCCTTTACAATGACTCACGTTGGCGCATCGATGTTTTCAATCTGCGCTGCTATCTTCCTACACAAGTCTGGTACCAATTTGTCGACCCCGGAGGAATGGAAGGCTTGGTAAGCCTTGGGCTCCAGTATCGATCCCATGCGTGTTGTACGACGCCTCCAAGCACTGCGCCACAGGCGCCCCAATTTTTTTTTTACTTGACTTTACGACCGAATTCCTAAACTTCTACGTCAGTTTTCGAAGCTTTCAGGATGATTTTAATCCAGAAGAACGAAACCAGTAATCTTTGATGTTCTTTACTACAACTGAACCTTGCATATGTGTGTTTTTCACAGTAGCATCCATGGAGATATTTACTAGCTAAAACTATGTTAGACAATGTACTAGCTATAAAACACCCGAACTACAACATTGGTATTGAACAAAATATCGATAAAAAAAAACTCAGGAAAATGTTCCTGCGCCAAGATAAACGACCAGAAACAAAATGACCTCTAGAGAGGTCATAGAGGTCACAATGTCCTATCGCAAATGACACCTATAGAGGTCACGTCGTCGTGCATGTATTAAGTAATACTCCGTCAGCAATAATCAGTTCTTGAAAAAAAGCGTCTGACAATAAGCGAACAGAACTAATGGAACAAAGCCGAAATGAAACATGTTTAACGATGTTGAAAGTTCAAAAATCGATAAAAATCAACCATAAAAGTAGACCTAACGAGTTCATATCACCCAGCTGATCACATAGAACTTCATACAAACCATTACTATGAAGTAACCGAACACAAGTTTGTGGCCGAGCTGTGTCGTTGAACACCAAGTTCTGTTAAGTTCTGCTAGAGTTTAGTGACTTGCAATCGCTCCTCATCGTCAAAAGTACCAACTAGTTTTTAAAAAAGTCTAGCGGAATAGAAAGATGGTAAATGAAGTGTTAGGGTACGAATTCGCCTTCCAAGCTGAAGAACAGCAACAAAATAGTATGCTCTAATCGAGATTTACGCGACAATGCAAACACTTTGGCTTGGCGTGTTGACAACTTTTCCTCATCTTGTCATTAAGCACTTATCGGTTTTGTCTCTTTTTTTCTGTTTCGAAAAAGGAGGAGGGATCGATTCGTCACGAGCCATTGTTGATTAGTGCTCTCATTGTAGCTGTTTGGAAACTCGGCTGTGAGGTTTTAACGTGTAACTATTTGACAAAGATTGTAGTTGTAAACAAACAGTGATGTGCCTCTCTTTTAATATTTAAACGCGGTTATTTGCGGGAACGGAGCTGTACTTGAAACCAACAGGTCGGAAGCTGGTTTAGTTATCCGACTTTTGGTCAATTAAATGCAATCATTTCTAAGGCGTTCGATTTGGCAAGTTCAGAACTCTGTACTATGCCGCTGCCTTTGAATTAGCTATTTGTTTAACGTACCATTTCGTGGTTTTCTAACCAACAGTGCTGTTGGTAGTCAATGATGTAGATTTCAGGTATTTTAATGCAAAACGAATTGCTGGATCCTTCTTTATCACGGGGATTTATACCACACGCCAATCTTCCACCACAGCCAGTGTCTGGTCCTCTATCAGTAAGTAAATACAGTTCGTTTATCAATTTTCAAGTTTGTTTTATGAGTTTTAGCTTTTTTTCTTACATTTAATGTCGATGGGGTAAGTGGACAGCATACATGTTTACTTATAGCTTTCGACTTTTTACCAGTAAGGATTGTGAAGTAAAGCTAAAAAGTTTGAATAGACAATGTACAGCTTTTAATTTTCTTTCTTCTAATTCTTTTTTTGTGTCGAAGAGATAGATGTAAAAAGGAATAAACCTCTCGGAGTTGATCAATCCCTAAGGGATGCACCATGCATTCGTTTTCACTAAGCAACGTTCGAGGTGATTGGCCTTTACAGTGACTCATGGTGGCCTACCGGTGTATCAGGCTAGGGCTGCTATCCTCCTAGACAAATCTGGAATTAATTTGCCGACTCCGGATGGATGGATGCCTTGGTGGGCCACGGGCGCCGGGATCGGTCCCATGTGTATTGCAGAGCGTCTTCCACCACTACGATATACGCGCCCTAGGATTGTGAACTAATAGTAAAAATATGTTCTGCTACTTCATTTTTTTATTGCATAGAGTTTAAACAGTGCTGGAAATTTATTTGTGCAACAATTTACGAAGCATGACTGATGAATATTTAGTTTTTTTCACTAACAAATACATCAGTCAGCTGATCTTCCATGAGGAATGGAGGGCTCCTTCAATATAGGACGGTTGCTCGAATTGAAAACTCTATGCACTGAAGTGTTATTTTATTAAGTTGATTTCAATACTGCTTTAATTTGAGAAATTTAGTAAAATGGAATAAATACTTTAAGGTAAGGTATTAATGTTAGAGTTTTAGTTGTTAAAGTAATTGAAAAAAGTAAGGAAGTGGCAAAGGACCACGAAAACTTCGTCGAAACATGGTTTTTTAATGGTTTTCTTACAAATTTGTTAAGTTAAAGGCTAAATGAATATTGTGCTTCAGCAGACACCAAGGTCAGCAGCTGCCGTACATGAGAAGCTTGATCCAAATCGGGCTCGAAAGGTTACATATATTTTCGTAACTATTTTACTGTTAAGTTTTCATTTCTATCGATAGGTTAGTCACAACTGGTATAGGTTTAGGTGGCAGAAGTTTTTCTGACTGCTGGACATGCATTTCAAAAACTTGGAGATTTGACAATGCAGCTTCATATGGGACCTTCTTCACTACCGACAGAAGAGTTAGCGTGTTTTCCTGCTTTAGTGCTTATGCATGTCCTACGGACTTTTTTCCTGCTTGAACCTTTTTTACCGTTTCGGAAGTTCTTTGTATGATGGTACTATGTGAGAACATTTAAATGTTTTGTTCTGATTTTCCAGAAAATGGAGTGAAAACCATGTGGACCACTTGCGAGAGGCACTAACGCGGTTTGCACATGAGCTTGATCAAATAAGTAATAATGTGCAGGCTAGGACAACGTGCGTTCATACGCCCAACTTTTTTTCCTTGCTTATGGTCACCAATCTTTCGTTCTTTTAAAAAATATATTGAAATAAGATACCTAAAATTCGGCTTAACTGTGTTCAATGCCGATTTGTGCTCCCTAGATCAATCCCGTTGATAGGCGATTGCTGATAGCACTCATAGGTTAACCACGCAGCTGAGAGAAAGGCGAAACAAGTGTCCCAAATGGTGTGGTAGTGAACGAATTAGCCCCCGTAAAGGGAAGTGAAATAGCGTGTTCGATCCTCACCGCAGACACCTACGATCTGGAGTTTTCCAAATGTCTTAGTGTAATTGTAGTTATATTTCACAGCATGATCTGTCATAACGAAAGAATAAGAACAAGAGTGCATTGAAATACCTATATTTTTTAAAATTTTTCAGGAAAATGATTAGTACGGACATTCGGCGAAGGCATATGGCTCCTCAACGATCACCTGTAGCTTCGGCCGTTTCGACACTGAAGCGTCAACCGATGAAACTAGGTCCAGTTGTTGTTCCGAAGCGACTAAACGTCGCTAGAAACCAAAGGGTTTGCCACTCCTATTTTGAATACTTACAATACTAACTTCTGCTTATCCATTGCTTTCATTTTCACTATCATATTAGGCAAAGGCGTATTTATCAAGTACTCCGTTTTTTACAATATGGTTCACGAATCTAGAGTTTCCAGTCAAATTATACCGTTTTTTTGAGTTTATTTAGTGCACGCTAAAGTCCCGCTCCTGGGCTTGAAACAGCCTTTTTGGCGTCTGCTGAGAATTTGTTTCTTAATACGTTTCACGGTCTGTCTATCACTGATTTTAGTAAAATAACCTTCCTATGTTTTGATTTATTCGTCCTTTTGGTCACAGGTGTAACGTATTCTTCAGAAATCTGAGTGTTAAATAAGCTTTATCAATCCACTAGCTGAGTGAAGTCCTCAACATCATTGAGTTCAAAGTTAAGAGGTGAAAATATGAAATCGTTTCTATCCAGTGGGAATTTCAGTAATGAGACCTTCTGAGTGAGACTTCAAAGTGGACGAAGACAGGAGTCCCCCGTTTTTCTCTACAGCGGTTGACAGTGGAACAGTTTTTCGTAGTTCTTGTCTACAATTCTTCATGTTCTTGTGCCATTTACCATTCTATGTTTTACACTTTTCTGTTCGTTTCAATTTCTCAAGAGTGGACCTTCTGCAATTGAAATTTGCTACATAGCTATTCGTGAAGCACTGATAGCTCATCAAGTGTCATGGTTTTCAGTTCTAATAGTTTTTCAATGCTGGTTTATATCAGACCAAAGCTAAACTATGATAGAAGCTAAAGCATTCTTGCCAAGGAAGGTGATAACGCGGTAGTTAGTGATTCCGTCTATCAAGAAGCAAAGGCGATCGTTCGCTTTTCACCCTAATGCTCGTTCCCAATCTACATGGAAACGCCTTGGCTAGGTTATCTCCAAGATTGTGAAGAGGATTGGCTCTAGCAGCGCTCTACGACATTCATAAAGAAGAAATTCTCAGGCAGTAGGTGAAACAGCACGTGAAATTTCCGAAGACCGTTGTGGACGATGAATTCAAGGAAAACCAAATGATTGCGAGGAATGCTGGGGTTGCATATTATATGTGATAACGAATCTTGTAAAAAACGCGTTATTGGCACCGTGTTTCCTTTTTATTTTCTTCCCTTTATAGTTTTTAAGGCAGGGTGTTAAGCGAAATACAACCACAATATTTCTGAGATATTTACAAAACTCCGGCTTAGCGTTTAATAGCGCGTTCGTTCCCACCGCAGACACCTGCGGTCCGGAGTTTTGCAAATATCTCAGCAATGTTGTGATTGTTGGCACCCTTTTTTAATCTGAGGATTTTCTGTAGTATACAATTTCACTTCGGCTTTGAGCTGTATCTTTTTACAGAACAGACGAACTTCTTGGACTCTTTGAAAGAGTGTTTATTCCGAATTTCACCATATCGTATTCCTCATCTCTATCATATTATTTAATCGTAGTTTCTTTCAGAAATTATAGGGACTTTACTTACGGACCACCTCGTCCCAGCTATAGTTGAGCAAGTAATTCGTGGTAAACGTCAGATGCATATGTTCAGTATCCGTGGTGGTGATGTTTTCGGTGCTTAATTTAGTATTTTGGGCTTTTATTACTTTGTTACTGCATGACTATTATTTGTTGAGAGAAATTCAATCATAGGCGTACTGATTTTTAGATAGGATGGTCGCAGTAGATGTAGGTTGTGAAAATCTTGTGCTCTTATACTTCAGTTTTATACTTGTTAACATCACTTCACTATGGCAGAGCTATAACCGTGAAGGGATGCCTGGCTGTTGTTCTTATTTTTTCTCTTCTCCTTTTCTTTTTTATTCCATTATTTTAAATTTAGTTTTTGAACACTACTAGTCCAACAGGTTTGCACAGTACTATTTATGAAAGTCTTAACATGCTGCAATGTTTTCAAAGCAAATGGTTTTAGATGAAACAATGGATAATCAGAGACAATGTAACACTGTATGAGATCCAGGTCCTTTGATATTGATTTGTTTTCTATACAATGCTCATTCAGCAGTACATGACAACTCATCTGGCACCAACACCTGCTGCACAAGTGGTCGCTCCTCCGTCAAAAACTTATCCGATAACGAGAGCCAGCACGTCAGGGTTTACTGGTCAACGGCAATATGTGATGTCAGTACCACAAGCAGGGCCGTCACGGCCTGTATCTGTTGCTACTGCACATACTTCGAATCATCCTACTGTCCATCAACAAAATACGACCGCTGTTTCTCATCAAGGTCCGCCAAAACTTGTACCGGTTGTTATAGACAACGCACCTACACGGTTGGATCAACGAATTTAATATGTTTGTAACATGTGTTCTTTGAACTGTCATTGCGGACATTTTTTTCAGCTTTATGGTTTTGAATTCCATAGATGAAGAGGGACAAGACTATTGCCACTGTGGTAGAATTTTGACCTGGTTTCACTTCTTCCTAGTCATGAACTATATAGTCGATGCATAGTCAATGTTCAGAACTCCAAATGGTATCGTGGGAATTTCAGCTAGGTAACAGAATTCGGGCGGAGTTATTTCTGAAAGTCTCTTGCTTACTGCGGAGTCCTCCATATCAAACTTTTCGTATGTCTTGAGACTAGGATTTTGTTTTTAATCACAGTAACTTCTATTGATTCGTTAATAATTGTTATTAACCCCATGCGGGAATGTTTTGATGTCCAAATGAATTGTCAGAATTCGGATTTCAACTGGACTACGTTTCTTTTATTTGGCGATTTAAAAATCCTGTGGAGGGCACGGTTATCTCATTCCTTCCTCGTGAACATAATTCTTAACAGAGTTCAATTACCGTGTTGTTTTGCTACCTAGTTAAAGCTTTGAAAAGTGCTTCGAAAGTTTTGTTTTGTCATGGGTGTTTTGAGAAAATATTTGGACAAAGAAAATTATTTTTGAAAGCTAAGCTTAGTATTGAATTCTTATTTTGTGGTAGCAAAAACCAAGTTTAAGTGTTTTTGTTATCGCAAAACTTCTGCTTTACACTGAATTACTTGGAGTTTTCGGAGATTCTTTTTGCCCGAGAACAGCGCATTTTTTTTTCTTCTCAAACGCCGTTGATAAGGCAAGCTATTTGTGGCCCTGTGGAGTTCAGAGAATTAAGGAGGTACCTCATCTAGAGCTAAATTTGAATATGCATCGTTATTGTAATTTATAGTGCTCAATCATAGGGAATCAATTTGGACGTTATTTTATGCACAAGTTTTTTTTTTTCATTTCAACCAACACCTCTCATTGCCTTAACTTGTTTCGCTTTCATTTTGCACTTTATTCTGTACAGTGCAGTGTATGACACCCACTAGTATCGCTTAGCAAGTTTTAGTTGAATTTGTTGTTACTTGTACTATTTAACTGCAACTGTAAGTTTGTTGACTCATGTTTGTGAAATTGAAGCCTGAGGTGGTCTTTGTTAATGTCGAGCTTTTCCTGGTCTTTGGACGGTAGGAAAAATCATGAAGATGTTGGCTGTTAATGTCATAGCTATTCTGGAATTCAGATGTTCGAATTGTTTAAATGATTCGTTCACTTTTTAACAAACACTGAGGATTAGAATCTGGTTATTTCAAGCTGTTGCTAGCTTCTCCATAACTAGAATACTTGAAGAATTGAAGACATGGTCAGCTTATAGAAGAAACTTCTATCTACACAGAAGTAGGTATGCTCCTTTAAGACTGCTATGAAAAAATAGATGAAAATATCTGAATTTTTGAAGTTCCGAGTGAAATTATGGTAGCTCTACCTACGTCAACAAAGCATTTGGGGCGTTTCTAACGAATCGAGTATTGCTTGCGAAGTTGTTTTCATTTTGGAAGTAGAGGCCTCAAGATCACTAAGATTTCCCGGCTCCACGAAGTCGAGATTTCATCGTGTTAAAATAGGAGGTTTTGTTTAGTACTGGGAAAGGCGTTTTAGATTCTAATAATTTTTATTTCAATCATTAGAGCTCATTAGCTTTAGGTTATTATAAATTGGGTTCAAGCAGAAAGCAGCCGTGTACCCATGTAAATAGACATCGTTTCATGTCGTAGTCTAAGTGTTAACCCTTTGGCGGCCGCTACCAATTTCGTGTGATGCCAGCCAGCGTAATATCATTTTAGCGCGGATGGAATGCGCCTTGAAATCAAGATATACGATTCGTAAGCCTTGTGAAGGGCACGATGCATTGGTTTGTTGAGATTGTTACTATATCCCACGAATCTCTCTCACAGAGGAATCTTTCTGGTTAGTTGCGAGGCGACGTGGCACTTCTCCAGGTGGCGGATCGGGGGTTATTCGCCGACCAATAGCGAAATTGTGCTTTTCTGAGACAAGAGTGAATCCAGAGGATGGACTCACTGTTTCAGCTGCGCTGATTTGGCACATACCATCCGTATTTACGAGGACGTATTCATGCATCCTTTGCTTCGTGTTCTCGAGGGCACGGATTGTGTTTTACGAGACAATTTGTTTAAAAACTTGCAAACCAACTGACGACGAAGTATATGGAGACGATTAGGAATCTTACCTACTTAGTACTTGAATGGCCCGTCCTCACTGGTTGTGCGGGCCCCAGCATAATCTCCAATTTTCGGAGATTTGCTGCTTAAGCCATTATGGATACCTAGAGTCCTCAGGTCAACCTGGCCAAAGTCTGCCCCAGGTCTCCACCACCGCGGACAGCTGCAGCCCTTGTGGATCAGAGGGAGATTTACCACCATACGACTTTGATACCAGGACGGTGGTGGATCCTGGTATTGTTTTACTCTTAGCTAGGCTTCGTGATGGAAACGCCGGACTCCTTCTCAGTTTGGGAGACCTTGTCAGAGGACGAATTCCCTGCTGTACATCGCAGTCCGACACCCAGGAACACCTCCCAGCCACGATGAGGCGGTAAACCGTTGTGAGGTGGTTAGGAATCTTACTTGTATTTACGGGGATGTATTCATACATCCTTTGGTTCGTGTGTTCTCGTGGGTACGGTTTGTATTTTACGAGATAATTTGTTCAAAAACTTTCAACCAACTGATGGTGAAGTATGTGGGGTTGTGAAATATAACTTCAATGATGCTGAGATATTTGCAAAACTCCGGACCGCAGGTGTATGCGGTAATAATAGGCAGTAAATAGTACGTTAAATTATATGGGGTTGGTTAGGAATCGCTTCCAACAAATAAGCTCCCCTGTCTACTGTGGAAGGGACCGGCGAGCTGCCCATGAGTGTAATTAGCTCCAATGTTGAGAGCTAACCAAGCTATAGGTGGGTATCAAGTCCTGAACAAAGTGGAGCAAGTGGGCGTCATCCTCCTGACCTCGAAAGGGCTCCGAAAAGGCAGCGTTAGGTAGGACAGGAACGGACAGGGTGCTAAGATCTCAAGGCCATTCTAGGCTACCTACTTCGGAAAGGACTGAGGAGACGATCTGTGCATATAGTACATGGCTACCTACCATTTGTATGGAAATATGGAAACTACTGGGAACACTAAGAATCCACTGTATGTCTCACCAAATTGTTCAACTGTTCGTCGTTGTTGTAGCATTGCTTTTTAATCACGTTTATTATAATCCGGCACAATTTTAATCTGTTAAAAAGAAGGCAAAGCAAGAATTGAAGTGGGTGGAAGTAGAAAAAGTTAAGATGGCATAATTGGGTACAACATAACACGTAGAGTGTTTATAAGGGAACTTGTGTTCCACAGATGTCTGACCGCGGCCTATCAAGGTTCAGAAACAAATGAGCGTTTTTAACGAAATTGTTTAGAATGTTATAATTTGCTTCAAACAAAACTTTGTTAATCAAAATTAAAGCAATTTGAATCTACGCGCTGTTGCTAACGAGAAACAAATTAGCTTGCTCTACTTGCTTAGAATTCTGGAGTTCTAGAAGCAGTGAATTCGTTGAGGGCATTTCTTTGCGTCATCCTACTCGGTGAAGGATTTCTTGCGTAGAAAGTCGCCGAGGAGCTTGGAGAAGTGATAGTCGACAGACGAGAGGTCTGGTGAGCATAGCTTATGAGGCAAAGAGTCGTAGCCCAACACGTTCAATCTCTGCAGCGCTTGTTCCGCAATGCAAAGCCAAGCGCTGTCGTGGATGCCGGCCATTGTTGTTCCAGTTCATGGAGCATTTCGACGATTTGTTGGCAATACTTCTCTGCCGTAATCGCTTCGCACGGATTCAAAAAGCTGTGATAAATCAGCCCGGTTGCAGATCACCAAACAGTCACCATGACCTTTCTTGGTGCAATTTCGGGTTTGTGAAGTGCTGTGGAGCCCAATCGCAATCCAACCATTGATCTGAACGTCGTCGGTTGTCGTCTGGAATCCACTTCTCGTCGCACATCACCATTCGATCAAGAAAAGGGTCGTTTTGTTGCGCAGAAAAAGAGCAGACGACATTTTAAAACGGTGATTTCTTTTATTATCGTTTAATTCTTGCTCAACGCACTTGTTGAGTTTTTTTTGTCTTTCCTATGCGATTTAAGTGAGTGGAAATCGTTCTTGTGCCAAGCTCTTCTGCAAGCTCTCGAACAGTTGTTCGCGTGTTTCCTTCCACTAGTGCCTTCAATTTGTCGTCGTCAAGTTCATTGGGACGTCCGTGGTCTTCCTTATCTTCGAGGTCAAAACCACCAGATCAGAATTTCCGGAATCATGTTCGCACACCAACACTACCTTCACCCCAAACATCATTGCTATTTCGACCTGCTTCTTCTGCACTACGACCGAGTTTGAACTCATAAATTGACGAAAATTCATTTTTGATATCTAAAATTGTGTTGCTCAAAACTGGTGAAAAAATTTAATTTTTGGCGAAATATAAAGACAAGGCTAGAAAGAGCATCAAGCAGCAGCCCAAGCCACACGTAGAAGTTGGAAAATCCTAGTGTGTGATGGATGCGAGAAAAGGATCGAATGTTAGAACTGCTTGGATCCGGACAGTAGATGTGAACAACGGTCGCATTGAAAAAAAAAAACTAAAAAAAATCTGCCGCCGATGATCGTAAATTGTTAAAAGACTCTCGGAAGATACCAGCAATGACTAGATAAGTCGGCGGGCCGTTGCCAAGTGCTTACTAGTGGGTTTGCACGACTCTGGATATTATCGTTTTGTTCCTTTTACTTGGGCCAAATGAGATAGTCCTAGAATCATCGCGTCGATTCCATTACTTTATGAATTGAGTTCGTAAACTCTCTCCACCTACTAATCATGCATACACGGCGATAAGTTTCAGGAAAAGGAAAAACCGCTTCTTAACAACGTGGACATCTGATTCTACCAACGGAGAACACCGCTGCAAATAGGCAAGGAACAAGTTCCACAACAACCCATATATCGTTCCATCTACTCTGTGATGTTGTTGGTCTGCAAACAGATGCTTACGAAGTTCGATTCTGTAGATTTAAGAAGTTGGCAGACCTAGAGATCTATCCATGGAACAAATGCACGAACGTAGTGTGCCACCTTTTAAAGCTTTCACTCATGACTTAATCTATCTCTGTCAATGAGGTATTGAAGGAAATAAAACTGCATATTGAACAAAACTGGTTAACCCTGGTTAACTGTCATAGATAAATGTTTCACTCTACATCTTTATCTCTCTCGTTTGGATCGGTGCAGAAATGGAGGAGAATTTTGTAAGCTTCTTAACTAAAAGATTTTGCGCAACGTCACAGAAACTGCAATGAATATTTAGATTAAAATTTAGGATGGATTCACCTTTGATCAATATTTTTGGAAAACTACTCTATGCAGAGCTGGAGATCGAACGGTCGTGATGTTCTAGATAACCACATACATAGTTTTCGGTCACGGAACCTTGTACGAGATGGCCTTTTAGTAAAATGGAAGCCCCTGCATAGTGTGGTGGTGAACGCATTACTCCCCCGAAAGGACAATAGCGCATTCGTTCCCCACCATAGACACCTGCGGTCCAGAGTTTGCAAATATCTCAGCAACTTTGTGGTTGTAAAATGGAAGCATCAAACCATTTTGAGAAATCTTCATCTATTGAGAAACGATCACATTAACCAACATATTTATCTCTTAAACATGAAATTGCGAATTTCACTCGCATGTAGCGGTTTTTGCATATCTAAATGACGTCATCTCTTGAAACATCTCATGTATCATCCTCCATCACGTTCGTTCCTTTGCACTGGATTCTCTACTTCTTTAACCGCTTTCTTCGCCACTTCAGTCTTCTTCAATTTTTTTCTGTCATGTGTTTTTCACTGCTACTTATCGTCTTCGACTTCATTCAGTGCGTCCTTCTTCTAAGCTGCATACTTCTTCCAAAATATCATCTTTATTTGAACGTAACTGAAAAGAAATGGTGAACTAAATCCTCATATGCATTCATGATCCTAAAAATACAAATCGATGATTTTACTGTTGTTTAACCCGGCATCACCATCGCACTAGGACGCACCTCCGACCACTGCGCTACGCTCTCCTTCTAATCAGTTATGGTTTTTGGACAAAAATTAACAGTGTCCAAAGAAGTGCATCCTAAAATGTATTTGAAAGAATAACCTTGAAAAGAACTAGGTGATTTTGGTCAATTGATGAAATCTCGTGGGATCATGAGAAGCCACTGCCATATTTGGCTTGTTGTGGGTGGTCTCCCTTAACTCGCGGTTTAAGACAAAATGTTCTTAACAAGACGATCACTCACCACTGGTACAATATAAATAATTTGGACCATATAGTATGGTCGGTCAAATGGGCCACCCACTCCTCACATGCCAGTGAAGGTATGGAAACTGACTCAAACGTCATTTCCATCACTTATATACGGCCGGGAGAAAAACAAGTCGTTATCAATGGCCAATCACTATCATAACCGCACTTTATAAAAGAGGATTGCCAAGTGAGGTTCTTCATTCGCAAGGTACTCCGCAGAATTCGATTAGACGCGCTCTTGTCTAAAGAACGGCTGAGGAAATGGTGCTATTGGTAGGGTCCCCACTTGTGTTGTTCGCACCTATTTCGCGCTTCATCTCTAGCTTTTTTGCAGAGTCTATCTTGAAGTTTATGTAAATTACATGCGACCCTACGCAAGGTTTTCTTAGAAATGGGTTCAGATGGTGAGAAACTCAGTCCCAATTCTAATAACGAGCGCGCACCGTCAGGGAGAGTCATGCCTACTAACACGGTTAGTCTTGAGGTTTCTTTCACATTACTTATCCTACTGTGAACCTGTTTGGTGTTCGTTAGCGATGTTTTTGTGCGCTATTGAAGCTGTGTTATGTGATTTACTCAAAAGGTTTTCGAATTTTCTCTGTAATAGAGTTGCAAATCAACACTGACCTACCCACTATTCTCCTCCAGAGGCGGTCCTCCAAATCCTGAGCACAAATTTTTCCTTCTTCTTGCACTTCTTCCGCTTGGCGAACATCTGGTTTTGTTTGCTTCCTTGGCA